GGCCCCTGAGCTCCAAGCAGGGCGGGGCAGGGACCCCCTGAGCAGCAGGGGAAGGGAGGCTGGAAGGCAGGATGTTGGTGGTATCAGAATGCCATGCTCTCAGGTTGCATCTGGCTTGCCAGGAACCTTTTTTTTGAGACAAGAAAGGGGAATGGCATCCAAGGATTACTTTAGCGAGAAGCAGCGGGCCGTGCTGGCCAGCGAGGAGGCTGCCGTAGTGACCCAGCGTCAGGCCGTCCGAACTGGCGTCAGGTGCCCGTGGTTGGGAGGCAGGAGGTGAAAGGTGCATTTGCAGGTCTTGGCATTTTCTTGAGGTCTTTTCATTTGTTCGTTTAGCGGGCGTTCGGTCAGCGCCTACCGTAGCTCGCCCGTTACTCGGGATGCGGAGATGCTGCGGTTAACAGGCAAAATCCTCGCCGTCCTGGGTTACGTGTTTCAATGAGATGAACAATGTACAAGTTGACAGATACGATGTCTAGAAATAATAAGTCCTATAAAAAACATCAAGCAGGGTCGGGAGGGAGAAGAGTAGACAGCAAAGAGCTCTCGAAGAAGGGACGTTGAGAAATCAGAGTAGGGAGGGCACGATCCAGGAAGAAGAAACAGTGATACCGAGGCCTTCGCTGGGGCCGCACGAGCGCCATCGGCAACGGAAGCACGTGCACGTGTGTCTGCGTGTCTGTGTGCGTGTCTGTGTGTGTCTGTGTGTATCTGTGTGTGTGTCTGTATATCTGTGTCTGCGTGTCTGTGTGTGTCTGTGTAGATCTGTGTCTGTGTGTCTGTCCACCCCTCCCTGTGCGCGTGCGTGCACATACACACTCAAAGCTGGTGTGTGTGTGCGTGTGTGTGTGTGTGTGTGTGTGTGTGTGTCTGTGTGTGTAGGAAGTGGAGGTTGCGGGGTAGGGACAGTGTGCATAGTGAGGTGATGAGAATTGGCCCAGTTTATTTAAGTCCATATGGTTCAGAGTGAGAACTCTGAATTTTAATCTAAATGGAGTAGGAAACCGTTGGAGGGTTTTGAGCAGGGAAACGTCAAACGGATTTATGTTTTTTGAGAGCCTCTCTCTCTGTTCTGTGGGTAATAAAGTGTCGAGGGAAAGCTGGCGAGAGTAATCCAGGTGAGAATGACGGTGGCTTGGAATACAGGGAAAAACTAGAGAATTCCATAGGTATTTTGAAAACGGAGCCAACTGCTTGGATGAGCCCTTTGCGAGAGAGGTCAAG